GGGAGGGGGAACGGGTACCTGAAGTTGTCCTTTCTTTAGTGTGGGCATGCTGGCTTCTTCCCGCGCTGGCTTCTGTGACAGCCGGGTGCCCACTGCGCATGCGTGAGAAGCGCTGTGCTTTGTGAATGGCCCGGCGTCTTCTGGGACCTGTCGTGTCCCAGAAGTCGCCGGACCGTTCACAAAGTGCAGCGCTTCTCGCGCATGTGCTGTGGGCACCCGGCTGTCACAGAAGCCGGCTCGGGAAGACTGTACAGCGCTGGACAGAGGAACAGGTAAGGTCCTGCAGGAGAGAAGAGCTGAGCGGCCGGCCCTGTATTCTGACATGGCGGCGGTGGAAATACCGGACCGGCCGCTCCATATTCGTTCCATAAGATGCACTGACATTTTCCCCCCTTTTTTGGGGTGAAAAAAGTGCGTCTTATGGAGCTAAAAATACGGTAAGTGTTCATTTGGCATTTCTCCATTAAAGTTTTTGCTTTAAAATTACTACACTATGGGAGTGCTCTTTTTCCTCTGGGGTGCGTCTGAGCTGGCTGATGTTCCTTTGAAAAGGATTACCAGTTTCAACACTACTGAAATCATTATGGTTATACAGTGAGGAAGGCCATATTCCTGAGATCGGTGTGATTCTATCATCTTGGATATCTATTAAGGGCCCTGTGAGTGTGAGGCCTGAAAGCTGTGTGGCCCCTTGGGGTCTTGGCGTGGAGGTGAGGAGGCATCTTAGCCAGTGATGGATTTATCATTCATTTCACCCAGTTGCTTTGTTTGTTTGGAGTTGGCGGTCTATTTACATAGACTTTATGCCGATTTGATGATTACTTATGTTTATTTTGATGGTCACTCATTTGTTATATGTCACGTTGCTTTAATTATTTTTTGTGCTTATTGATGCATGTTTATTTCCACTGTGCGTTTTTTACTGGCATCAATCCTGATTATAAGGTGCATTTTTAGTTTCATGCACCTTGTATGATTAGTTTTGCACATATATTTCTTTGATTTTTGATTGTCACAGTTTTCTTTGCATGTGCCCTTTTATTTAGGACGTGTTAGTCCTATTATGTTGAATACATCATTTATGTTCACTTGTTGATTATTGTGCACATTGTTTATCATCACAATCCATATTGCACTTAGTTTGGTCTGGTTTCAGGCCTTTACATTTTTATGTATTTATGATGCTTTTATAGTTTCATGCACCTTGTATGATTAGTTTTGCACATATTTTTTGCCATTTGATTTTGGCAAAGTTTTCTTTGCACAGTGTTTTTTGTGCACTGTTATTTAGGATGTGTTATTCCTATTATGTTGAATACATTATTTATGTTCACTAGGTAACTATAGCTTGAATATGTTTTGGTGAATACCTAGCAAAAAAAGTAAAATTGTGCCTGTGTCCAAATATATAATGTGCACACACTGCCTTGAAAAAGTATTCATACCAAAAACATAAGTGTAATTTATTGGGATTTGATGTGATAGACCAACATAAAGTGGCACATAATTGTGAAGTGGAAGGAAAATAAATGTTTTTCAAAATGTTTTACAAATAAATATGTGAAAAGTGTGGCGTGCATTTGTGTTCAGCCCCCCTTAGTCAATACTTTGTAGAACCACCTTTCGCTGCAATTACAGCTGCAAATCTTTTTGGGTATGTCTTTGCATATCTAGATAGTGAAATTTTTGCCCATTCTTTGCAAAATAGCTCAAGCTCTGTCTGATTGGATGGAGAGCGTCTGTGAACAGAAATTTTCAAGTCTTGCCACAGATTCTCAATGGGATTTAGGTCTGGACTTTGACTGGGCCATTCTAACACATGAAGATATTTTGATCTAAACCAGTGTTTCTCAACCTTTTTCCAGTCGGGGCGCCCTTTTAGAGTATTTTCAGTCAGGAGGCACCCCTGTCCAAGGCTTGGTTCACGTTACTGTGTGTCGTGGAACGCACGCAAAATTGCGTTCATTCCTGACACGCATACAAATGCTCTGCTCTTTAGGGGTACCCCATTCATTGGCAAATGCGGGGTGTTTTTGGTGTGGTGCAATTTTAAAACTTAGGTCGGGGACATTGAAATGAATCGGCTGCCCTACACACATATGTGAACCAAGGGCCTGTTCACCTGTGAGGTTGGAGGGCGGTAAAACCACTCAATTGAGCTGCTTTTACCACCCCCAACTGCTGCTCCCCCTTTCGCTGCAGAAACAGCAGCTGGGGGTATACACATGCTGTTGCCTCAGCTGGAAGTATACCTCCAGGTGAATGGAGTTGAACTGCGACCACCCTGCAACTGTGTGTGCATAGCACAACAGTTGTGGTGTGATGATTGATGCTGGGGTTAAACTAGCAGCAGTCCTTGCTAATAAAGAAGCAGTTCTGATCAGAAAGGAATAGGGGGGTTGAGATTAAAAGTAAAATACATATATACATACACCTATAAAAACACAGACACATGTACACACACAGACACACATACATGTACACACACAGGCGCATGTATACAGCATTATGAAAAGTTACAGTACCTTAGCTTCTATCACACAGCTGGGTACTGCACTCTAGGGGGAAGCAAAGCACACACAAGACACTCCCCTTCCTTTTGCTTTCACTTTGCTCAGCGGTGTGACGGCTCCCATTGTTGGTGTACAGTGCGACTAGGGATCGGGAGCTCGGGCTCAAGTGACAGCCATTCTCCCCACGGCACCCCTGAAGACCTCTGGCGGCACCCCTGGTTGAGAGACGCTGATCTAAACCATTCCATTGTAGCTCTGGCTGTATGTTTAGGGTTGTTGTCCTGCTGGAAGGTAAACCTCTGACCCAATCTCAAGTCTTTTGCAGACTCGAACAGGTTTTCTTCTAAGATTGCCCTGTATTTGGCTCCATCCATCTTCCCATCAACTCTGCCCAGCTTCCCTGTCCCTGCTGAAGAAAAGCATCCCCACCACATGATGCTCCCACCACTGTGTTTCACAGTGGGGATGGTGTGTTCAGGGTGATGTGCAGTGTTCGTTTTCCACCACAAGTAGCATTTTTTGCTTTTAAGCCAAAAAATAAAATTTTGGTCTCATGACCAGAGCATCTTCTTCCACATGTTTGCTGTGTCCCTCACGTGGCTTCTCGCAAACTGCAAACGGGACTTCTTATGGCTTTCTTTAAACAATGTCTTTCTTCTTGCCACTCTTCCATAAAGGCCAGATTTGTGGCATGCACGACTAATAGTTGTCCTGTGGACAGATTCCCCCACCTGAGCTGTGGATCTCTGCAGCTCCTCCAGAGTTACCATGGGCCTTTTGGCTGCTTCTCTGATTAATGCTCTCCTTGCCTGGCCTGTCAGTTTAGGTGGACGGCCATGTCTTGGTAGGTTTGCAGTTGTGCCATACTCTTTCCATTTTTGGATGATGGATTGAACAGTGCTCCGTGAGTTGTTCAGTGTTTGGGATATTTTTTTATACCCTTACCCTGCTTTAAACCTCTCCACAACTTTATCCCTGACCTGTCTGGTGTGTTCTTGGCCGCCTTCATGATGCTGTTTGTTCACTAATGTTCTCTAATAAACGTCTGAGGGCTTCACAGAACAGCTGTATTTATAAGATTAAATTACACACAGGTGGATTATTTGCTAATTAGGTGACTTCTGAAGGCAATTGGTTCCACTAGATTTTAGTTAGGGGTATCGGAGTAAAAGGGGCTGAATACAAATGCACGCCACACTTTTCTGATATTTATTTGTAAAAAATTTTGAAAACCATTTATTATGTTCCTTCCACCTCACAAATACGTGCCACTTTGTGTTGGTCTATCACATAAAATCCCAATAAAATAAATGTATGTTTTTGTTTGTAACATGACAAAATGTGGAAAATTTCAAGGGGTATGAAATCTTTTTCAAGGCACTGTATGTATGGTAAAAGATATTCCCTTGTGTTCAGAAATTAATATCTATCTTGTCAATAGGTTCCATTCAGAATGCTTTACATAAGCTACAGTATTTACTGCTGGGTGACAACCCAAAATTTGCTGATAGCAAACAGTATAAATAGAGCGGGGGGTGACTCTTCCTAATGGGGGCACAAACTGCTAAAGGAAGTTTCCCTTCGCTTCCTGTCCCAGATATACAACAGGAATTTAGAGAAAATCTCCCGAAGTGGGGGAAATTGTACTCCCTAACACTATAAATTATAGTTTTTTCTTTTTTGATCGATCTTTCCCAATAGGGAAAATCATGCAATAGTCAACTCCATTGATCAGTAAGTCACACATGGGAAGGTGGATTTCAATGACTAAAAAATATGATCATAAGTCACGATCGCACGTTATTGTTGGCATCTGTTTTTATCATGCAACCTCCTAAACCAGTTGATTGAAATATACGGTTGTATGCATGACAAATCATCTCAGTGCTGCTGTTTGATTAAAAAACGATTATAAATTTTCTGTGTTTGTTTGATTTGGATCTAAATGAAGTCTAAATCAATCAAAGGGAGCTAATGGCTAATTACAAAATATTAAGTGCAGTTCCACCCTCCCTAAACTCAATTCACTTGAGCTTTTTCTGGTGTGTTTAGTGAGGGTAATGCTGCACAGCATATTTTGTTATTGGTACACACTGAGGTGGAGGGTTATCACTTCCAAATGCTAGCTTGTTCACTGATGTGATTGTGATAATTGCACAGATATTTGTTATTTTAACTTATGGCTAATTGATTGAATCAGAAATCAATCTCATTTTAATGGAATTGCACATTGTACAGATAATAATAGTAAAGTGCATTTATGGCCACCATGAGGGCAGTTCCCACTATGGCATTGCAGTAATATGCTTAAGCGCACTGCACCGCACATGAATAGTTCTGCCACTATGAAAAAATGCATTGAATACTAAAATGACCCGTCCATGGTTTATTTTATAACTATACCTCACGATGGCTCACTTGCAGTTCTTATCATTTATTAACTTTTGTTTAGGCTTCATTATAACATAATGTAAAATTTGTTTATAGAGAGCTGTTGTGCGCATGGATGAATCCAGAGAACTACAGATCACGCGCTTCTAAGTACTGTGCATGCGCAAAATATTGACGTGAAGCCAACTTTCTCTGATGACTCCTGGTGGGCCACTGAAAATGAAAGGTAAGCTTTATTAGAGATGTGCCACAATGTTAATAGCTGTGTACTTGGAATCCATTATTTTTTTTTGTAGGTATGTTCTAAAAGAGTTTGATGTTATCCCAGAAGGCTGTAGGGGAGCTGAGGCAATGTCAAGGAAGCGGAAAGGATACCACAATAACAAGGTCCTCGTGCCGCCCCCCCCCAAAAAAAAAAAAAAATGCTGTTTTTTTTTTTTTTTTTTTCTTACAGGCTGAAGAGAGGAAGATTATATGTGTAACTTATTTTTCAGCTGATGGCCTACTTTAGGCCCAATTGAAACTGGTCACCCTTAATGTGAACTTAATCTACAAATGTAACAGTAGTACTGTAGTACAGGCACCTTTTGCTTCCAGATTCCTGTGTTTAAATTAATCCCTCTTGTTCACTTTGCAAGTTTGTTGTAAAAAAGTTTTTATCGTGTAAAGGTTTGTGTATGCCTTTAGTCAAAAAGTGCAGAAATCCAAACATTACTTTTAAAGTGGTTGTAAACCTCAAATATGAACAAAGCATATCCCTCTATAGTGTGTACTTGTCTCAATCCAGAGCACTAAGTGTCATTTCTGTCTGCTGACTCATTCTTCTGCTGACTGCATGAGTCACTTCTGATGAGATTTTCCTGACACCAAGAGAGAAAATGTGATGGTAGGGCACAGTGTGTGACTGACAGCCTCAGCTTTGTTCCTGTGTGCTGTGTGAAGGGGGGTGTATCTCTTCTCTCCAATCAGCTCTCCTCACTGTTGTAACTCCAGCTTTCCACCCCCTGCTTTTCAGAGCTGAGAGATCCTGTGTAAATTCTGCACTTTGGATGTAGGGTAGACTTCTATAGATAAACAGGTACAACTTATGTAGGAGGATTTGTTTCATCTCTGTGCAATCACCCGAGGCAATTCACTTTACTGGGTATATGTAAGGGCTTCCAACCACTTTATTTGGACATTTTTAAAATCCTAATTTTACAGGAGACCTGAGTGTCTTGCTGATTACATTGTTTTGTATGGCTCCATCTATATATATATATTTTTTTTTCAGAAACAGTACTCCATCTCAACTTAGAGAGACTAAATTTGCAGAAAAAGATGCCTGGGATGATGACGATGACTCTGACTCTGAAACTGCGTGTGTTAGTGAGTGCTATAAGGGAAATACAGGCTTGGACCAACAACTTAAAGAAGAGCTGCAGAGGAAAAAAACTGATCTTACATACCGTGAAATGCAGGTGCTTAACTTTAAAAGATTGTTTATACCTTTATAAAATATCTTCATTATATAAAAGATCGTCTATCATTCAACAGTGCACATGGAGTTGCATATTTGTATGTAATCTAGATATTTGACATTACAAAGAGATGAAGTGTATAATTTTTATCATGGGTCTATTTTAAATGATCGACACAGAATATCAACCAAAAATCCAGAAAATTTTTTTTTTTGAGTTGCAGTTCAGTGAGTAAAATAAGTATTTGATCCCATACCAACCAACAATAATTCTGGTTCCTAAAGCCTGGCTATGTGCTCATGTGGTACACAGATTAGTTCTGTCTGTTTTAAGAAGGTGCTCCTAATGACAATTTCTTACCCTTACATGTATAAAAGACACCTGTCCACAGAATCTTGAGCAGCACCATGGGCAAGACCAAAGAGCTGTCAAAGCACGTCGAGGACAAGATTGTAGACCTGCACAAGGCTGGAATGGAGTATAAGACCACCAGCAAGAAGCTTGGTGAGAAGGAGACAACTGTTGGAGCTATTATTCACAAATTGAAGAAATCCAAAATAACCATCAATTGCCCTCGGTCTGGAGCTCCATGCAAGATTTTGCCTCATGGGGTAAGGATGATCATGAGAAAAGTGAGGGATCACCCCAGAACTATACGGGAGGAGCTTGCGAATGACCTCAAAGGCAGTTGGAACCACAGTCACCAAACAAACCATTGGTAACACTATACGCCGCCATGGATTGAAATCCTGCGGTGCCTGCAAGGTCCCCCTCCTCAAAAAGGCACATGTATAGCGCCATCTGAAGTTTGCTAATGAACATCTAAATGATTCAGAGAAGGATTGGGAGAAAGTGCTGTGGTCAGATGAGACCAAAATTGAGCTCTTTGGCATTAACTCAACTCGCCATGTTTGGAGGAAGAAAAATGCTGACTATGACCCTAAGAACGCCATCCCTACAGTCAAGCACAGAGGTGGAAAAATTATGCTTTGGAACCGTTTCTCTGCTAAAGGTACAGGCCGACGTTGCTGCATTGAGGGGCCAATGGACGGGGCCATGTATTGTAAAATCTTGGATGAGAACCTGCTTCCTCAGCCAGAACACTGAAGATGGGTCATAGATGGGTCTTCCAGCATGACAATGACCAAAACCATACTGCCAAGGCAACAAAGCCGTGGCTCAAGAAGAAGCACATTAAGGTCATGGAGTGACCTAGCCAGTGTCCAGACCTTAATCCTTTAGAAAATGTATGGAGGGAGTTGAAACTTCGGGTTGCCAAGCGGCAAGTCAAGAAACCTTAAGGATTTAGAGAAGATCTGTAAAGAAGTGTGGACCAAAATCCCCCCCGCTATATGTGCCAACCCTGTAACCAACTACAAGAAACGTTTTACCTCTGTGCTTGCCAACCTCAAGGGTTTTGCTTGGTGGTAAAATACTTATTTTACTCACTAAACTGCAACTCATTTTATAACGTGTACCATGTGTTTTTTTTTTTCTGGATTTTTAGTTGATATTTGTGTCTATCATTTAAAAAACACCTATGATAAAAAATTATAGATCCTTCATTTCTTTGTAAGTGGGTAAGATTACAAAATCTGCAAGGGATCAAATAATTCTGTATAATCTAATACCCTGGAATTTCTACAATGTTTTTTTTTTTTTCCCGGAACCCTCGAAACTTGCCGCATTTTGCTTTGCAGAAATCCACTTCCTGTCTGAACAGTGGCACAGTTGTCCACCCCCTCATGTGCCTTGTTGATTGCGAGGTTTACGTAATGGGTGGCATGGCTGAACCATATCAAGTCAGAGAAACCTAAATTTGCTAGTAGAAAATTTGGTGTGTGAAAGAGTATTGATTATGGATGCAGACAGCTGTAGGTAGACACTACAAGGTCTAGCCGATGAATTTAAGTACACTTAAAATGTAGACCTTTCAAATACATTTAATAATTTGCTGGGTGGTTGTTGTGCACAAATGCCTCATATAGAAAATGTGTAAGTGTATTTACCTTTTTCTTCTTTAACCCCCCTGGCAGTATTCCTGAGTGTAGCTCGGGGTTAACTTTCGGTACCAGAAGCAGTAACCCCGACCTACACTTGGGAATACACTGCAGAGTTGCTCTGGGATACCTCCAGCACTTACCTTGTCCTGCGCTCCCGCGATGTCCCCTCTGCAGCATCCCTGGCCATGTCCTACGGCCGATGCCAGCATCCGTCTTCCGTTCCCTGTGAGTGTCGGGACGTACGGGGGATGGAACAGGCGGGAAATTAAAAAAATAAATAAATAAAAATTTGACATTCACTTGATACACTAAAATCTGCTAGTATTACATTACTGTATCAAAGCATTTCACATACATTTTGTCCCTAGTGCTTTGTCCTGTGCCCTGCCTGCATTTTTACTGTTCTTTCTGCCTGGAAACTGAGAAATGTCCATGGCATCCAAAAAGCGTCCCTTTAGGTCAAAAGTGGTTTTAGATCAGCTAGAGAACCGCGATAGTAAATTAGAACCACTTGCAGAATTGAGTGATAATAATTTGTGGGGAAATTCGTCATCAGACACTGAAAACGATTTTGCGACTTTGCTGAGTGATGTGTAAACTTGGAGCTCTATTTCAAATTTCAGTGTTTTTGGTTTGATTATATTATTGAATTAAATGTATTATTATATTATTATTTTTTATGATTATTTATTATATTATAATTTGTGATTTCGTGTTTCAAAATTTATCATACCTGGGATGTTTACTAGACTCTTGTTTGGACAGATTTCAGTGAGTTATTCCTAAGAATTATAGGCCTACAATAAAAAAACCCAACATATTTCCATTGAAAACAATGTACTTTGAGCACAGAAATACTGACATAATCAGACCGCTAGGGTGGTTAATGGTGCTACCACCTCAGCTAGCCATTGCCGAAGCAAAGTTCATATTACAAAAGCTCCAATGCATTGGCCGGGCACAAGTGAGAAGGAAACTTTCATTTCTGCTGGAAGTGGTTCATTCTTGTGCATGGAATCCAGTGTAATATATCTTGCTCTTTTGCCTGTCTCCGCATCATCCAAGAAGTGAGACTGAGGCCAGCTAGAACATGGACTCTTTTATGTTGTTTCAGTGGCTTTGAAACTTTGAGTAACTGACCTGAAACAAGTGTGCACATTAGGAGGTCTAATGCCACCCTAACTTACCTTGATGGTAGACCTTCTATAAGAAAGCCAGGGTGTAAGGAGGGTTATCTGCACACTTATGTGTAATGACATTTAAATCCAGGAATCCTTATTTTTGTGTGGAAAGACCAGTATTGTGATCACTGTAAAAAGACGAAACCGTAAAAAGACAAAACTGGAAAAAAAAAGCCTCTAGGTCAGTCTACTCCTAATACATTATCTGTTACTGACCAGTAAATAATCTTCATCTGGTGGTAATAGCAACTTTTCATATTCTTCGATTTAATATCCTAATTTGTTATGTTAGAATTAAAAAAAAGGAATACATGTTGGAAATGTTTACATACCATGTTCTATGTTATGTATTATCTATTAAATAAATTGTAATGCAGATATTCAAGGATGACAATATTGTGCAAATTTGCAATTTGGCACAAAATCTTTGTCTATGCAGTTGTTAAAGTGGGCCTGGCTTTAAAAGGCGAGATTCATTTACTATGCCCCCCCCCCCCCCCCATCCAAAAAAAAAAATCTCATTGCTGCAGTAAACATATATACTCATACCTTGTACCATGTTTGTGATTTTGTTTTTGCTTTGTATTTCTAGCGGTTCCGTGAAAAGTTACCTTCGTACACTATGAAAGAGGTGAGCAAATATGACTAAATACATTTTTTTTTTCTCTATTGCTGCCAATGGAAGTATTAATCATTATGATGTGTTTTTTATAATAATACCATACAGAGACTGGGATGCTGTTAATACAGCAGTGTTCAGTGCAATGTGTGGACCACAGGAGAGTCAAGTTGCTGTTTGTGTAAAAGAGCCATGGTTCGATTGGGCAATTTAAAGCTGAACTCTTAAAAACAAGATACTACCTTGAAAAAGTATCAGCGACTTCATCGCTGTGCTGTACAAAGAGCAGAGCTGTGGGAGCGCTAACTTGAAGTTACCAACGCTGGAGCGGTCTTCTAATGTCACTGGATTTATGTCCATCTAAACATCCCAAATCATTTCCATGGCAAAGTTGTTTGCTGATTTAAGCTCACCTGAAGGAGATGTTTTCCCCACCAAAGCAATTTGCTCAGCAGTACGCTATGGAGGAGGAATTCGACTATAAATGGGGTTCTCTGGATGTTGAGCCAGCCATTTCCCACTTGAATAAGATCCTGAAAATCCTAGTAGATGAGGCCTCGGTCTGTAAGGGTGCCACAGATAAGGGGTTAGAGGTACTTTTTTAAAGTGGCCTCTTCTCTGGTAGAAAAGGTTTTTTAGCCAGGTTAATCCTTCCATCCAGTGAAGTGGAAGATCTTAACAACAGACACCAACCTGTCAGTCTAAGGAAGTATTCTGGAGAATTTCTCAGCTCAGGGAATGTGAGGAGCAGCAATTGACTATCAACATCCTGGAACTTTGGACAGTTTGGCTGACTCTCCTACACCAGTCTGTCTACCTTCAGGTCCTTCCCGTTAGGGAACAGTCAGACAATAGCACGGCTCTGGCATGCATAAACCATCAAGGAAGGACAATAAGTTGTGCTGCTCAGCAAACAGTGGACCTTGTCTTGGGCAGTACTTCGTTCTGTCCTCTCTGCTGTGCGCATTCCTGGTGTGGAAAATTGGCAGCTGAATCTGGGAAAATGGCACTTTTGCCAAGAGGTGTTTGAAGAGATTTGTTTGCAGTGGGGGATGTTGCATGTGGATCTTTTGATGTCCTGATTCAACAAGTTATTCAGGTTTACATCCCAGTCCATGGATACTCATGCATTTACAATGATTTTCTAGTGACTCCTTAGGATCAGTTTTTCCTGATCTATACATTCCCCCCAATGCAGCTTCTTCCTTGTCTGTCTCACAATAAAGGTGGAGGACATTGTAGTGTTTCTATTCCCACCTGCTTGCATGGCATCTTGGCAGACAAACTGCGTGTTTTCCAGAACAGGCAGATTTTTTTCTTCCTTCCTGCTTTAATGGTTGCTAGTTGTGACAGCATGATTGAGGCCCAGGTCCTTAGGGATTCTGACTCTGTAACCACTAACCTCCTTTTGAGGTCATTATACATGGAAGACTTATTTCGCCTGGTGTGAGGCTCATACATTTCATCCCCGACAGTATGTTGTGGAGTGCATTTAGACTTTTCTCCAGTCTGATGTGGACATGTCTCTTGCTTGAAATAACATAAAGGGACAGATTTTGACCTAGACTGTTCTGTTTCAAAGACCTACCGTGTCTCATTCCTTGGTAAAAGCCTGTCTAAAGAGTGTTGCACAGATCTGCCTGTGCAGCCTCTTATGTCTCCGGGTGCCCTTATTTGGTCTTGTCTGTTTTGAACCTCTCCAAGATTCTCTTGCTGCTCCTTATGTGCAAGGTTGTCTTTTTGGTTACCATTACCTCGGCTTGCAGGGTATCTGAGTTAGCTGCAAGAAATGTTTCCTGGTTCTTGACCAGGATAAGGTAGTGTTGAGGCCTTGTTTTTTTTTTTTTTGCCTAAGATGGTTTCTTCATTCCATCTGAATTAAGACATGGTGCTGCCATGTTTGTCCTAATCCTAACCCTAAGAAGAAGCTGCTTCACTCTTTGGATGCAGTTTTGAGTTGTTCAAATTTATCTGAAGTCTACAGTTTTCTGGTCCGTGCAAGGGTCAGGCTCCTTGTTCCATTTTTTTTTCTAGGTGCACACATCAGCTTATCTCACAGGCCTGTAGTATTAAGGGCAAATGTTCCTCCTTTATCAGGCAAAGCTCATTTTAATTGGAGTGTCAGTGCTTCCTGGGCAATTTAGCCTTATGTTTCTGTTCACGTTTGTAAGGTGTTTTCTTTAAATGGGTACTTATTCAGAAGTTCAAGCAGGCAGAGGTTCATGCCACTGCAGACTCCTTCCCACAGGCAGCTTTTTAATGGGGGTTTCCCTCTGTTTGTTTTGGGTGTGTTGGCCTTATTGCTGTGTTTCACACCCCTCATCTTCAGTGGTTTGGGATATCCCAAGGAGTCATGAATATGAAGTACCTTGTGACGTACGCCATGAAATGATTTTACAGGTAAACCAACAAACCTAATGTGTTTTTAGTTAAGTTGATGTTCTTTAAATGTACTGCATGACAATGTTTGTTTAAGCAGTTTTCTTTTTTTAGGAGATAGTCAAAATAATAAACAGCAATCAAGTGACAGTCATTAGCGGTGAGACTGGTTGTGGAAAAACTACCCAAGTGACGCAGTTTATTCTGGATGACCTTATCATGAGAGGCTATGGGTCTACATGCCATGTCATCTGTACGCAACCAAGGAGAATAAGTGCCATTTCGGTGAGAAACTCAAAGTACCTATTCAACAAAAGGCTTTTTATTTTGATGGGCCACATTACTTTGAACAAAATAGGGCTTCATAATGGTCATGTTGTTTTCAAGTTTTAGCCAACATTATTGTAATACTAAGATATATGTATTGGCCTTCATTATTTTACAGGACCAATAAATCTAAAGCATATGTTGACTTTATGTTCAGAGCTGCATGTACTTTTGCACACGTACCAAATGGGAACTTGATGTATTTGGCTATAACTTTATTTGGACTATCATCTACATTTAGTGTGACATTAAAGGTATCTACAAGCCTGAGAGGGTGCCCACTCAATGTAGCCTTAAAACTAGAGGATCACTGTTCTATTTCCATAAGATATGTTGCTACTTAACATTGTTAATTTCATCATTAATTCACTTCACCACTTTGTCAAACTGGTACACCAGTGTCTGAAGTCAACTGAAGTCTATCAGTTGCTGGCCCCTGGCCTTTTGTCTCTTTATTGATGAGAATGCTTAATGATGTAAAATACATAATCCAAAGCTACCAAGATTCTATTGACTCTGATACATATCCAGAACTAAGTAGACAGTGGGGTTGATTTACTAAAACTGGAGGTGTGCAAATTCTGGTGCAGCTGTGTATAGAAACCAATCATCTTCTAGGTTTTGATGTTAAAGCTTAAATTCTGGAGCCATAAGCTGATTTGTCTGTGTGCTCACCTGCACCAGATTTTGCAGTCTCCAGTTTTAGTAAATCAACCCCAGTATGTGGTCATGCAGTTGACAAGGTAGGTTTCAGGTGACCCCTCTTAAAAGCTGGTTTAAAGGCGCTTTGCAAATGAGTATTTTTATTGTTGGATGATGTTATACCTGCTTTTTGCATATGATAGAGGTAGTGATGGCCCATAGTTGGTTTTTTTTTGCAGGGGTCACCTTAAAGCCCCATTTAAAGTATGGTAGGATCATCCGTTTTGTTGCAGTTAATTTTTGGCTGGGTGACATTCTGCCCATTTGTTAGTTGAGGAGGAGGGACACTCCAGTTATGTGAAAATATAAGTTGGGTCAGTGCATGGGGTTGGATTAGCTCTGAGGAAGGGGGCTTGTACCCCAAAAAACATTAGCCTTCCAAGCGTTTAGCATATGATTACATGACATCACCTATGGCTGAAGCATTTGTCGTTTGATGTGCACACTATTATTTATGTTTGTGAGTATACAACTGTTATTATTTTGAGTACATTTGTGGGGGTTTTAGGAGTTTGCATCCTCCTGTGTTTTTTGTGTATAGTAATGGCTTTTCTCATGTCCTTAACCCTTTCACGCCTAAGTGTAAAACAAATTTTAAAGTCTTAAAATTTTGCAACTTTGACATGTGTTAGTAAAACTGTACATATCATCACAACTAATTTGTGCATCCAGGTGGATTATACCTTGTTTTTTTCAGGACAAATTGGGCTTTCATTTGGTGGTAAATGGTAATGGATATCTCCTGATTTTTTTTTTTTTTTTTTTTTTTTATTGTCAAAGGAAAACTGGCCCAAAATAGTAAGAGAAATATTTTTTTTAAATTTAGCTGTGTGTTTCTTACTACCATAACCTACACCAAAGAACAACCCAAAATAAATATTTCAGCTCTTGATGATTGCAGCGATACCATGTATGTATTTGTTGTTTGTACCTGTACTACAGCCCAGAAACAAAAGTGCACATTTTGTGTTTTGGTTTTCTTCCTTTTTTTTTTTTTTTTTTTTAACCTAAAAAACACACGGACACTGATACCAATTTAAAGAAGAAAAAAAAAAATCCTGACCTTGACCCAAACACTAACCCTGGCACTGAACTGGATCAAACATTGATCTAGGTATTTTTTCTTTATTTTAATTTTTAATATTCATTTTTTTTTTTTACAAACCGTTTTTTTTTTCTCTCTGCAAGAAGAGAGAGATACAATGTATCTGTATCTCTCTTCTCCATTCAGAGAGGGAAAAAAAACAAGTGGGGTGCGGGCTTCACAGTGACTGATCACTGTGATAGCCAATCAGAGGCTATCACAGAGATCATGTGACCTGGAATTCGGTAACGATCAGGACCCGGGGCTCTCAGTGACACCCCGGTCTTTGCGTTGGGAGTGCGCTGTGTGGCGTATGTAACTTTTATTTGTAACTGAATTCAGGAGGACGCAAATGCCTACTACATTGCTGAAGGTTTTTGTATAAAAGACATACAGCCAAATACTCACAAAGATGAAATATATGTATAGGCATTTGTATAACACCATATCGTAATCCAGTGCAGGAATAGTGTGGCCAAACACACTGATGTTGCTCTGCCATATAGAGGTCCACGTCATACCTCATGGATGGTGGCTGTCCCCAGTTTCTTAATCTTGTATGTCTCCTATGGGTAACATCTTGGCATGTCCATAGGTGTAAAGTGTTGTGAACTGCATGACGTATATAAAAATGGCCACAATAAGCCACAGCAAATGGCTGCTGGAACGCAAGCCCAATTGCTGCCTGAATCTACGCCGGACCAGATGTGCGTCGTAATGTCATTACTTGTTGCAGGAACAGGAAGTGACGCACTGGAAATATGTTGCCGCTCACAATGGGCATAACCTACTGAGCAGTACAAACTGCAAAATAATGAAAATTACCCAGTGGATCAATTGTGAATGCAGCCGTCATGTTGGAGGGGGAGGAAGAACAATGTAAACAGTTGAACCCCAGCAATAACGATTATACCGGTGTGCCACTTAACCATGATGCACCGTTATATAGATAAAGATATAATCGTGCATATGCGCAAAAAATGCTTTTTGTATTAAAAAAAGAATATATTAATAATATAAAGGGGGGACTGACCCGGTCTGTTGCTGGGAATACAGTACACCAAAGCATTAAAGCAATAGACATCTAATGTAAGTAAAGTAAATGTTCGCTCTGTCACAGGTAGCCATCGCTATATAACTAAAACACATATTTACTTAACTTGTATACAATAAAATCAAAAACAAATAGAATGAAAAGATTAGGATGACATCATGTGTTGTGCCACACAATGATTAGACACATGAAAAGTTATTACTGTCTCCCCCACCACGCTGAATTAGTGCAGTGCCCCACACACTAGATACAGAAAATTAAATGTATTATGCCTGTTGCTACCACCAACCTGAATAGAGGATCCCTCCAAAGATGACTCTCCAAGACTATTCCAGACCATAGAAGGATGTATATTACTACCTCCTTTACCACCAACCTGAATAGTGGTCCCCCCAAATGTGACTTACTAGGACCATTAAATTGCAGCCTGGATGTCTATGCCCTCATTCAGGCCTTTTGGAGAAAGAATACCCAAGCGATGAATCCAAAATGTCTCTCTCACAAAGCTTGTGGTGCCTCTCCCCATATCTACTGTATGTCCCCAGTAATGGTTTCCAACCCAAATACCTTTAACCCCATCGGATTTTTGTTGTGTTTTTCTTGGAACTTACATGGAACAGAATGCTTGTCGAACCCACAAATGATGTTAGTCTTATGTTTGCACACGTAATGCACACGTAATGTCCATGAGGTCCAGCTGACACAGAGGAGGCCACATAGACAAATGAGTCAATAGATCACATATTGGGTTCCGCAGTTAATAAACTACTTGATGTAATGAATTTTGCCATCACCGCCCAAGACTTCCTTTTTTCTATGCCACATGTAATGGCAGGCCGCACAGTTGGGGACACCGCACCTGTAACTGCCCTTCTGATCAAATAGACAGCTCCATCCAAGATTGGCACTGCTCTTCAGTTCAGACCCTATTAAGAGCTATATAGCTTAGGTTTCCAAAAGATCCCATTTGGATGCTCCGGAATAGTGCTCAATAGAAAAGAGTCTTGATGGAGAATACCCAATACTTGTCTGTAATATGCTTGATGTAACAAAATTTGCAATTACCTTGAGTACAAAAGATGATGCTCTTCTGCTGGCAATAAGGTTTTGGATTTGCTATTATCATGTGCCTCCTTGCTATTTGAGTTAACATGCTTCTCTCTGTACTTGTAGCATGCCTTCTCAACGAGGGATCATACCCCTTTTCCAATATATTTTTCCTTAACATGGCACTCTGCTCATCATGATCTTGTATACTAGTGAAGGTCCTTTTTGACTTGCAGAATTGCCCAAAAGGCACATTCCTGATCCACTTTAGGGGGTGGTGGCTGTGTTGCATTCAAGTATGAATTTCCTGCTAATGGCTTAAAATGCTTTTTTTGAAACAATGTTAAATTCAGCATCCATCATCAATTCCAGATCCAAGAACACTAACCTTTTGGCTAGCTACCACATGGGTAAATTCAATACCATAAGGTTTATTCTGACAATGTTGTATAATGGATTCCCGCTGGCAGTCCGCACCATCCCAAACTATTGGAATGTCTGAATTCTGAGAACTCTGTGCTAAGGTTTTTGCTAGGGTCAGTGTTGCACATGCACACTTCATGTTCCTTCTGCCTTTCTAGCCTCTAGGAAATCTCCTCTTACTGCCTGGCTGGTACAGATTTGCTGACCTTGCATTCTTCAGTCTTTCTATTCTGTCTTTGGTTTGACCACTTTCATCACCTGACACCTAATGTATAGGTTGTGTGAGTATGCCTTGCCTCTTCCTGTCTAGTTACCTTTATTAGTCGAGCAGGTCTTTTCCTAGACATCCTGAGTACAGTCCCGTAGCTACAAGTGACCTCACTTTTCGCTCCCCTACTATGTCAGATAGTGATTATTTTCCAGTACATTCACAGAAAACTAATTCTGGTAATTTGGATGCTGGGACCATTATTGCTATAGATTAGTTCTTGTCCCCAGCTTTTACAACTTGGCTACCTGAGCCTGATACCTTTTGCTGTTTTTTCTAGGCCTCATTTCTACTTCTGATTTTTTGTCTCTTTGGGAACATTTCATGGTATACAGACATACGGTGAACTACCTGATGTTACGGAAAAATGGTCCTTTGGGGCTTTTTCAGATGCTGAGACATTTCCTGTACCTTTTTTATCCAGGGAACTTCTTAAGCTGGGTTCACATGGTCCAAGTAACAGCCAGTTTAGCAGGAGCCAGCCAACACCTGGACCCGTGTGTACAGCTGTCCTTTTGACAGAAGCCAGTCTAAGGACTGACTTTTGTCAGAGGGAAATGCTGGAAAACCAACATCCGATCAGCGCCCACAGACAATTTTCTTCTAGTACAGGTTGTGTTCTGGGGGGGGGGGGGTGCTCTGTTAGAACACAAAGGCACAGCGGGAGAGAGAGCTGTACTAACATCACTTTGAACTTTTTATTTTTTTATGTGTGTACCAAGATTAGGGGAAGTTTGGAAACTTTCTTTTCATTTATTGCTTTTTTCTGTTCATGTGAAAGTTTTTTCCTTTTGGATACGGGTTTTTTGATTGCATGGTCCCTAACCTGTGTGGACCTTCCAAGCCTTGAATTGAATACTGCTATTAGATCATCAGAATTTCTCCTTACATCCCAGTTTGAGCTAAGTGGTATCACTTTCCATCTTCTTTTGCTGGTATCCCTAATTTGTGAAACCATGTCTGACTGGATAGCAACTTTTACCAGTGACTCTTCCTATTCTGATTAGTACTGCAGAGTTTTACAGCTTTTAACCTCTTTAGCAGTAATCCCGAGTGTAGCGCGGGGTAAAATTTCTATACCAAGAGCGGTAACCCCGAGCTACACTCGGGCTTACCATGCGGTGCTGCTCTGGGGGTCCCTGCAGCACTTACCTTGTCCTTCGCGCCCACAATGTGTCCCCTGCAGCAACCCCGGCCATCTCCTCCGGCTGATGCCGGCATCCGGCTTCTGTGTTCTGGTCCCTGTGACGTCGGGACGTACGGGCGCCGGAACCGGCGGGAAATTTGAAATTTTTTCAAAATGTAATTTTTGCTGTCATTGCTGTTTCAATGCATTTCACATATATTTTGTCCCTACTGCTTTGTCCTGTGCCCTGTCTGCATTTTGAATGTTCTTTCTGCCTTTTGGTTTGATTATATTATTGAATTTAAATGTATTATTATTATTATATTATTATTTTTTTATGATTATTTATTAAATTATAATTTATGATTTCGTGTTTCAAATTTTATCATATCCGGAATGTTTAATAGTTTCTTGTTCGTACAGATTTTCAGTGAGTTATTCCTAAAAATTCCAGCCTACAATAAAAACTACATTTTTCCATGCAAAAAAAAAATGGTACCGCTTTCAGCACAAAAAATCGGAAAGAATCATACCGCCAAGGAGGATAAAACAATTGCATCATGCCCTGCACTTCTGCTCTATGAGTGCTTTACATCCAGCTCCCCATTGCTCATGGGACACTTTGCTACCATTTTCTATTTTGAAATGCTGCATTAAAGGCTTAGTTCACCTTTAAGAAAATAAAATGCATATTTTTTTGTTGTAAAAAAAATTGTGCATTTATTACTTTTTTTATTTTTCACAGGCGCCTGCAGAGCATAGCACCCACTATCAGTGGTTCACAGGTGCAGTGTCAAGGCTCCTGTAGACTCTTCCTCTAGCTCTCCGCTTGTACCTCTCTGTAGGCACCTCTGGAGGAAGTGTCAATGGACCATGAGTACGCTGATTACTGCACTCATGTTTGAGAACCACAAGTCTGTCTGCCACAGTATAAAAAAGTATATATGCTTCCCCCAAGTGATGTTTTGTTTGTTATAATATTCGATGGATGGCTTTTGGGACCATACCCTTATGAATGTTTTTTTTTTTTTATTCCTGGTCTGTAGATCTTTTTTCCACTTGTTCATAGCAGTTCTTTTGATGCACCAGTTGTATATGATTTTCTGCTGCTCCTTGCCATTCAATCTACAATAAAGAAAATCAAATCTTCGTGCTTGCTGAAAAAATATTTTTCTTGGAGGGCATTGTGGGACACAGGTCCTGCCCCATTATTTTTGGACGTAAATTTTGCTGTATTAAAAAAGCTGAAACCTAATGGTTGAATGCGTTTTTATACAGTGAGCTGGCCTATCCTTTTGTTTTAGCAGTTTCCAGACCTCCTGGAGGCAGCAGTATAACCCATTTGTATATTTTCTACTGTTCCTTTCATCCCTAAATGGATTACAAAAAATATTTTTTTTCTTTTACGGTACAAAAATCTTATGTTTTGTCACAGCTTGGACAGAATTTGGATTGGAAAACTATATTGCATTGAAAGGGTAAGAGGAGACAGAGGTGATTATTATCCATTTTTAATTGTGTGGATACTGTTGTAAAAAACCTTACCTGACAGTTACCTGGTGAAGAGCTAGCTAATTAAGAAGAGTGGATAAAAGGAGAGACAAATGCCCTAGGTGCTTTTGTTAAAACGGATTGTAAAAAGTATAGCTTTATAGAAGTGTTATATGAGTAGCAATAACTAAAAAGAAAAAAAAGAAAGGGCTGTACAGTTCAACTATACATCATTATTTTTTATATACTGTACAAAGATAGACTGTTTGATGAAGAGGATAACCATTCGCCTAATTAAGCTAGAAAAAAAAATCTATTGTCCTTTTCAGGTTTCATTGTATCAGCATAAATACAGAGATAAAAACTGTTTAGCAGCGACAACAGTTCAATTGAAATGTACATACAGATGAAGGCTTTTATTTCTGGAGACCTCTTTATAGCATGGTCCTCTGTGCATGTTGATACACCACAGTTTTGTATATTTTATACAGCATAGTGGTCTTGCACATGCATTGCCAACAACTACAGGTGTTCATATAATAAAATCATCATTCACATATCTTATATAATGTCTTTGTGGTGTGTATTCATTGTTTATAGCAAAGTTCCTGAACCAGGATTCCATGGAATCCTGATGTTCCTCCAGAGGTTGCTAGGGGTTCCTTGAGCAATGAAGAGTTTCTAACACCCAGTAACTACCGATATCAATTGATTGTTTAGCTGTGTATAGGTAGGGAAGTTTTCTCACTGGTCAATAATGTAATAGTGTCTTCCTTTACTGACCTTTAATATAAAGGCTCATTCTCCCAGTGGCCACCAGCGTATGGGACCACTACACTGACTACCAATAGAAGAAGGAATTTTTCCACTGACCACCATTGTAAAGTGGACTACAATTTCAACAGCTAGGGTTTTCTTTTTATTCCATTTTATAATTGTTACTGAATTGTTTAAAAGGAGTGTTTAAAAATAACAAAAACAAAAAAAACTATCTGCTCTGGGTGTCAAATAATATGCTAGATAGACTACATTTGTTTATTCTTTTATTATATTTTCAACTTGCTTACCACAATGTGCTGTGAGCTAGAGATGTAGTAATTTAGCATGGGTTCCCTGAGACATGAAAATAATTTCATAGGTTCCTATGTATTAAAAAGGTTGAAAGATGCTTAGCAAACTGTTGGCGCTATATAAATCCTGTATAATAATAATAATAATAATAAAGATGCTGATTTATGGCTTTAAATATAGGTAGTATTTGTATATATTTAATGCCGCATCAGTTATATAAATATACCCTCTAGTAGACTTTGTGGATAATGATTACCAAATAGCAATAATTTCTTTAGTCTTCATGCAAATCCATTGCTAACAGTAACCATCTCTTAATCAATTTTTTTAATATTTATTATAGGGTATTGTGGTTTGCTCAGTGTAGAGAAATACACATTTTTCTTTTGTATATTATGATTGCGTAGTAGTTGTTTTTTTTTTTTTTTTTTTTTTTTTCTCTTGTGATGTTCCGATTTTATTTTTTTACCTTATTTTCTAGTGACTGTGCTCCTAGAATGCTCTGTTAATTTTTATAATTTTGATTAGTAGATAACTTACAATTTATACCAATATTTATTTTTAGGTAGCAGAACGTGTTGCTGCAGAACGAGCTGAACCATGTGGGAGGGGGAATAGCACTGGCTACCAAATTCGTCTTGAAAGGTACGCCATAGCAATTTCAGAATTTATTAATACAGCAAGTGTCCCTTTGTCACTGCTGTCAAGATGGTTCATATTTTCCAACATTTGGTGTATTTATCAATGAAGGGTTCCAGACACGTGGTCTTTGGCTGCAGCTACTACATACAGAATAAACAGATCATTTATAACTTATATGCTTAAGCTTGACTATTGTGTTTTTTGCTTGAAGATAAACCTTTGATGATGGGGAACCTGATATATTTATTTTTATTACAGGTATTTATATAGCACTGCCAATTTATGCAATGCTTTATGTACTATCCATTTACACCAGTTGCTGCTCTCAACTAAGCATACAATCAAAGGTCTCTATCTGACATGAACAGACATACTAGGGCAAATGTAGACAGGGGCCAAATAACCTGGAAGCATGGCTTTGTAAGTGTGGAAGGAAACCAAAGAACCCAGAAGAAAACCTATGCATGCACAAGGAGAACATGCAGATTGTGTCCTGTTCTGGATTCGAACAGAGTACTGCAAAGCAAATATGTTCACTACTGAGCCACGTGGATTATAGAAAAATCTGAATTCTCAGTTTTACCTTGGGCACTCGTTTAGCAGTCTTCTTTGCAGATTCAGAAGTGGCCACAAAAGCATGTTTCTTTTGAAGTGCAGGTTAAACATAGAATGGTGTTCCTGTCTGTGATATCAAAATGCATCTTTTCTTTAGACCTTCATTTTCACATGAATGTAATTCATACAGTAGGATGAAGAACGATGGCTGTGGATCGCCAGGGGGACATACCCATTGACAATCAGTGTTCCATGGACCATTGTTTGGGTTATGCTGCTTTAAAAAGAAAAAAAAAAAAATACTGTATGGAAAAAAATCGATAATACCATGTATGCTACAGCCCCATAATTTTCTGAATTGATTGGACATATAACTGAAAAATCTCCCTGGCAAATGGCAAAACGTAAACCCAGCCTCTCCTACTTCCAGCCTGCCTTTTTAGTGTTTTGCTAGTGTCCATAGGTGATGGCTGTATTCTCTCTGCTCTGGAAGTTACATGGCCTCGCTGAAAAAAGACAAAAGTCCATCCAGTTAAACCCAAAAAAAAAAAAAAAGTTATAATCCTATACCAGGGGTAGGCAACCTGTGGCTCTCTAGCTGTTGTGGAACTACATTTCTCATGAGGCATTGCAAAGATTACAAAACTGACACAGCTATGACTTGCAAAGGCATGATGGAACTTGTAGTCCTGCGGCTCTCAGGTTGCCTACCCCTGTCCTATACCCAGAATTGATCCAGAGGAAGGCAAACAAAACCCAGCAAAGCATGATCAAATTTGCTCCTGCAGAAGAAAAAATTCCTTCCTGATCCCCCGAGAGGCAATCGGATATTCCCTGGATCAAATTTACCTATAAATGTTAGTATCCAGTCATATTATGTGTATCTAGGAAAGAATCCAGGCCCTTTTTAAAGCAATCCACTGTGTTTCCTTTCTGAAATTGATCTTCTAACAAGTCATTCTAGTGTTTTGCTGCTTGCTCTGAAGGCTCCTTCACAGTTATTTGGATTGGGTACCTCTCGATCTTGCAGTGCTTTGAGGGACTGTATCTGGACACCACAGAATAGCAGGGAAGGCCTGTAATGTTAATTGTCACTGTACCCAGCAAGAAAGTCTCCTTGGCACACCACTGCACCAGTATGAAAGTGCTTGTGGGGAGATATACAGGTTCAGGACTGTGGTCCACTGAAGTGAAGCCAAGATCCTGATGAATGAAAGTTGAGCTGGGTCCCTAGGACCCACAGTTCAGCATATGAAGACAGCATCGGTAAGTCCCCCCTGATTAGTATCCCAGTGTGCTATGCTCCCACCCTTGGGTAGTAGGGAGCAGCAGCTGTAATAAAGAGTTAGCTGGCCATGGGTTTCCTTATTCAAGAGGCAAATGGATGGGATTTCAAATTTGGTACCATTTTACATTACACTTCATGGGTGGTCCCTTTCCTCTGTACATGTGTAGGTTCACCTTCAGGCCATTTTGTGCACGCTGTTATACCAGGGGATAGTTATTTCGTCCTAGACACCATCCATGCAGGACACCACTGGAGACAATCCCTCCATTTACTGGCTGTACAGATGTCTTCTACTGGGCCCTAAGGTCTCCAGGTGATGGGACACAAAGAGGCCTAGGGCACCTTCTCTGCTCTATTATTCCTAAGGAGGAATTCTCATCTGTCAGTTCACCATACTTTAGCAATAGGTGGACGATAGATATGAGGTACTAGGGAAATTCTCCCAGTCACCTTCAGCATAGGCTTTTTATTGTGACTTTCCTCTGCTGACTTTTCATTGTTCAGAGGAGGAGTCGGGAAAGGCAACGTCTTTCTCACCATATGAATTCTCACAGGAGATGGAACAGGTTTGTGGCATCTCTCTGGCACCAAAATCTACTCTGGAGTGTCTTCACGGACATGGTGCACAAAAAAAAAAAAAAAATTCTTTAACCATGAGCCTCTAGAACTAAAGGAGATTTAGCGTCTTGGAAGGCTCCAACTTCCTTCTACATCCTCATGTTCAGATGGTCCTGTGTAAAGAACTGGGCACACAATGAAAATGTCTTTGTTCCCCATAAGAGATTTGTGCAGCACTACTCAATGGAAGAAGAAAAGAGTGGACACTGCTTTTTCATATGTGAAGAAGAACCTCATTGTTCTGATGGATGTAGTTTCCAATTTTTTGGACCCTGTGAGTGAGATTTTTGTAAACCCCTTTTGAAAGCATCCATTTCCAGGATCTGCTGCCATGATGTCCTCAATTGCTCTGATGGGAGTGTGCCAGGCATTCTTGATCTGGGCCCAAGTGCATGACTAATGACTGGATTAGAAAAAAAACTTTTTTAACCCGTGTGCAAGAGGCCTACTCGCCTGTGCTCAACATTACTCAGGTCTTTACAATTTTTTTACTCAGGTACTTCTGTCAACAAGTTCCTGAGTAAATATCAGTAGATTATGATGCCCATGTGCAAGGGACCTAGGTCAAAAGTCTTGCTTTTTCTTGCACTTCTCTGCTGCCCCATTAGTCGGCTGGAGACCAATGAGATGATTGGTACTTATGGGTATTGGGGAACATGTGATGCTCTCTCCCCCCTGTCTGCCCTCACCAGGAAGAATCACCCTCCTCATTTGCCCTTGTACCCATTAAAAATGATATAGATATGATAATGAGACATAACATAAATTGCAGTACCATATACAATGCTGGTCGGTTAGTTTCTTATTAAAGTCCTTTTGTTTAGGATATTACATCTTGTTTACTAAATTGGTGATTAGTGGAACTGATGGGGGAATATTTTTGCAATGCTTTCGCTTATAACATGTCACAATTCTGGTAATTTTTCTTCTTTTGTTTTAGCCAGTTGCCTCGGAAGCAGGGCTCAATCTTGTACTGCTGCACAACTGGCATAGTTCTGCAGTGGCTTCAGTCTGACCAGTAAGTACACATGTATGTGCATAAATATACAGTACTTTTAATATTAGAGATGATTTTCCAGCCAGTTTTGTTTCGCTCCAGATGCTTGGGCAATGTCAGTCACATTGTCTTAGATGAAATTCATGAGAGAAACCTGCAGTCTGATGTCCTCATGGCAATAGTGAAAGATCTTCTGAACTGCCGCCCAAATTTGAAGGTGATACTGATGAGTGCCACTCTGAATGCAGAGAAGTTTTCTCAATACTATGGTGAGTTGCTTTTCTTGTAAAGTTATCTAGTGCAACTGTGCTTTTGAATGGAAATATTTTGCTCAGTGCCATTTTCTAACCTATCAGTTGCTGTAAATTTTACTGTGTACTATGCATAGAAATGTTTTGTTTAATGTTGGATTGGTGTAGATTTGATAGATATTTTTAGGAGCGTATCACTTTTTTCATGGTACAAATGTTTTGGTGCCAATTTTCTGGTTAAAATTTTTGGTATCACATTTAATGCTAGGATTTTTAGTGGTGATGCATTATTGCATATATATATGTTTTGGCACAAAAAAAAGCTCACTGTGAAAGTAATGCTATCATGAAGATTGAAACTATAAATTATCTGTTACGTGATGCTTTAAAGGAGAGGTAGGGCCACAGCTAATTTGCCCCTACTTCTGTAGGCCAAAGGAGTGCAATCAGTTCGTCACACCTGTGACCCGTATTCAGCCGACCTGCGGGCTAAAGACATCATTCTGCCTGTCCAGTCTCTGGAGGCATCCCTACTTTGTCTGGATCCACCCAGATGCCTGAGCCAGCTGCCCTTGCTCCCTCCACAGCCCAGCGTTCAATGAGCACTGGAGGGGCAAACCAAAGCTTTTTTTCTGAAAACCAGTTGCTTTTGGATCGAATGCCTTTCTATCTCTGACAACCTGAGAGCGAATGTGTACTCATGCTTTCCCTAAAAACAAAAACCACAAGATACCTGCTATTATCTGTGGAGGCAGGAAGCCTTCTTCCATATTTATGTTCATGGTGATACTGGGATCTACACTATTTTGCTAAAAGTATTTGGACACCTCTACAAATTATTGTATTTAGGTGTTCCAAACACCTCCATGGTCACAGTTGTATAAAATCAAGCACCTAGGCATGTAGATTGCTTCTATAGTAATTTTGTAAAAGAATGGGTTGCTCTCAGGAGCTCAGTAAATTCAAGTGTGGTACCGTGATAGGTTGCCACCTGTGCAATAAGTCCATCCGTGAAATTTCCTTGCTACTAAATATTCGACGGTCAACAGTTAGTGGATTTATAACAAAATGGAAGCAGCTGGGAACCACAGCAACTCAGCCACGGAGTTGTAGACCACGTTAAATGTCAGAGTGGGGTCAGTGCATGCTAAAGCGCACAGTGCGCGGAAGTCGCCAACTGTCTATAGAGTCAATAGCTGAAGACCTCCAAACTTCGTGTGACCTTCAGATTAGCACAACAGTGTTTAGAGAGCTTCATGGAACCATGGCCGAGCAGCTGCATCCAAGCCTTACATCACCATGTGTCATGCAAAACGTCAGATGCAGTGGTGTAAAGCACGCCACCACTAGACTCAGAGCAGTTGGAGACGTGTTCTCTGGAGTGACGAGTCTGGAAGAACGGTACTTATCTGACTGCATTGTGCCAAGTGGAAACAGTTTGGGGATGGCCCCTTCCTTTTCCAACATGACTGCACACCAGTGCACAAAACAAGGTCCATAAAGACACGGATGATTGGGTTTGGGGTGGAGGAACTTGACTGGCCTGCTCAGAGTCCTGACCTCGACCTGATAGAACACATTTGGGATGAATAAGAGGGGAGACTGTGAGCCAGGCCTTTTCGTCCAACATCAGTGCCTGACCTCACAAATGTGCTTCTGGAAGAATGGTCAAACATTCCCATAGACAGACTCCTAAACCTTGTGGACAGCTTTCCCAGAAGTGTTGAAGCTGTTATAGCTGCAAAGGGTGGACCAACTCCGTATTGAACCTTAACAACTAAGACTGGGATGCCATTAAAGTTCATGTGCGTGTAAAGGCAGGCGACCCAATACTTTTGGCAATATAATGTATTTTCATGTCTAAGTGTGCTAACTACTTTTCTATTATCTAGGAATACAATCCAATTAACAGTAGTGCTAGTGAGGCTCAATATGACACAAACTTTACTTTTTCTGTAATTACAGTGTAAATATACCATGCTGTGTGTCTGCTTTGATCCAATAGACATAGTCTTAAACACCATTGAATATGTATAAAACAGCTTATTTTTGTGTGGATGAAATGTTAACCATGATTTTCCTTGCACAGGTAACTGTCCAATGCTGCATATTCCTGGATTCACTTTCCCAGTCAAAGAGTATCTCTTGGAGGATGTAATTGAAATGCTAAGGTATGTTTCATTTGCATTTTTTTGCCCTTCGCTATAGTTTATTTTTGTAGATGCTTTTCAAGAAAAGGTAAGTATTTCAGTGTTTTGTATTCTTTATCCCAGACTCGTAACTTACCATTCTAATTTAACAATTGAGCATTGGAAGCTGCACTGCTAAGTAGCTAGATTCAAGTAGGCAATCATGCGTGTGTGTAGCCTGAGACAATGTGACATTTGCAGCTCTAGACTGTATTTTCTAATATTTGTCATATATTTAGGTACTCCCCTAAAGAAAAAGACTGTAGGCCTCAGATGAAGTGGAAGTTTATGCAAGGACGCACGGTTCGACCAGAGAAAGCAGACAAGGAGAAGCTGTATCAGGAGCGCTGGCCAGGATATGTGAGGGATCTTCAAGTAAAGTATGTTACTGAAGTTACCACAGACTCTTCTGTAGACTGTTGCCTTTGTACTAGCAGTGTATACTATGTACACTAAGTGAAAATACTAAGTGAAAAAAAACCCAGCTACATCTGTAAAAGAAATGAGTATTTTCACTGCCAAGTTTTTTTCTTAACAATCCATTTTCTACTTTCTTAATTACCACATGGACTAAGCTGGATTTACTGATTTACATCAAGCACATTATTTTATTGATGTTTGAGGTATTTTGAACGTAAAAGTCAATTCACAATGATTATTGCTGAACATTTCATGGAGAAAATTGCTATAAAAGAGCCCATCTGTCTTCATGAATAGAGCCTCAGTATGGGGCCACTTTTCCTCCTCTGATCTGCCTCAATTCAGTTTCTTGACTAATTCCACACCATTTGGTGTAACTAACCTATTCTCTTGTAATTTTCTATAGCTACTCTGAAAGTACTATCCATGCATTGGAATGTGTGGATGATGAGAAGGTTGACCTTGATATGATTGCTGAGCTTATCAGGCACATAGTCCTGAGAGAGGAGGTAAAGTCAAACATGATTATTTCAATACCTATATTTTGTTGTGTAATTTTGAAGAAACATGTTTTCTTTAGCCTTTCTGTATATTAATTTTTGCAGTTGCTAAATGTACTTCTAATTGAGCTATGTTTAATAAAAGGCAGAAGTTATTGTGGGACCCTATAAATACTGAAATTCTATACTCATTAAAAGGGTGCCATAAATGTTTAAAATAAAGAAATCGCACAAATATAGGTCTTTGGTGCACATTGGTTGTTGTGGGTTAAGCAAAATGTGAGTCACTTTAAAGCTGAATCCTAAGAACAAAACCCAAGATCCTTTTTTCAACTTAGTTCCACTTGGTGATCCTGCAATATTGCAATTCCTATGCTAGGTTGTACTGTACAGAGAAGCAGTGTTGTCACCTACAGGACACCTCCCACGCTCTTCTCCATGACAAAATGGGAGGTGCTCTATAGTCCACAAAGAGGACTTGGAACCATACTAAAAAAAAAAAAATACTGCAGAGAGCACAATCATTTCTGTTTAAAAATTTTTGTCAGGATGAATATATTTTTTTTGCACTTTATAAAACACTTTCAATGGCATATTGATATATTACATAATATATTCTATGCCAAGAATGCAACAGCCCACTTAGCAATATAACACCTCCCATAATTAACAGTATAACAGATATGTCATTCTAATAGAATACTGTATTGGTTGAAAAGGAAGAAGGGTGAATTACATAACAGTGGGAATGAGCAATCCGCATACAATATATCCCCTGTATTTAGAAGCATAACACCTTCTTACTAAGAAAATTACTTGCTTTAGCATGTTGTTCTTTAGGTCTTTTGTGGAGTAGGGCAGCGCTTGATAAGCGGAGTAAGAGCTACACCATATATCTCACATTGCACCCCAGTACAGTCAACACTCTCTACCATGTACACCAAATAAAGTTGCCACTACATTCAGTCCGTCCACTGTTCTGCATTATTCATCATCATGTAGTAAAGCTGAAGACTGAGGGGGAGATTTACTAAAACTGTGCATAGCATCTGGTGCAGTTGTGCATAATAACCAATCAGATTCTAACTTCAGCTTGCTCAGTTAACGGCTTCCCGCCCTGCCTATAGTCAAGATGGCCAGGCACGACGTCTCTAGTTCTGGATGGATGTCATATGACATTCTCCCCAGAATGCACCTCTCTCACAGGCCACACTGCAGCATGATCTGTCACCCGCTGTGTCCAACAAAAAAAAAATCCTGATCACCTCCCCAGAGTAGTGCAGTGTTACTATGGTAACCATATGAAAAAAATGTTAATTAAAAAAAAAAGTAATAAAGAAAAAAAGATTTTTTAAAATTGGGGGGAAAACATTATTAAGAATTGTTCTTGTGGGGGTTTTTTTTTTTTTTTTTTTTTCATCTGGTCACCAGTTGGTGTCCCTGATCACTGATACACCAGTTATATGATGACACACTACTGCACTGGTGACAGTATGTAAATAAAAAAAATTGTGATAAAACTTTTTTTAAATTCTTAATTTTTCTAAAAATTTTAACAAAAAATTACAACTTCAAAATACTCCTTATGCCTTTTACTAAATACAGACTAAATCAGAGGTGGGCAAACTTTTTGACTTGAGGGCCGCAATGGGTTCATATATTGGACACGGGGGCCGGACCAAGAGTAGATGAATGATGTGTATGTGTCATCCATAGTAAGTATAGTAATATTCCCCCATAGTAAGCATAGTAATTATCCCCCATATAGTAATTCATCCCCCATAGTAATTCATCCCCCATATAGTAATTCATCCCCCATATAGTAATTCATCCCCCATAGTAATTCATCCCCCATATAGTAATTCATCCCCCATATAGTAATTCATCCCCCATAGTAATTCATCCCCCATATAGTAATTCATCCCCCATATAGTAATTCATCCCCCATATAGTAATTCATCCCCCATATTAAGTCCCCAAGTCCCCCCTGTGTCAATTCACTTACCTTTGCTCCGCGCGTTCCTCTCGCCGTGTTCCCGCGCAGTTCCGGTGTAGCATGAAAATCTGTCTCCTATGAGGATCTGTCCCCCTCGACGTATCTGCGCATGTGCCAGTTTCAGGCATTAGCAGCAGCCAATGGACGATCTCCGGCACATGCGCAGATACGTCGAGGGGGGACAGATCCTCATAGGAGACAGATTTTCATGCTACACCGGTCTTCAGGGCGGACTGTAAGAGGAGCCTAGCGGGAGCCTAGCTCCGCGGGCCGGATTAAAAGGTCCGCCGGGCCGTAGTTTGCCCATTGCTGGACTAAATCATATACACTGATTTGAGTTGTCTTCACCAAAGAAATGTAGCAGAATACATTTTGCTTACATTTATGAAGAATGATTATTTGCATAATTTTATAACCAAAATGAAGAAAACGCGTTTTTCAGTCTTTTTTTGTTTTGTTTTTGTTTTTTTACCAAATAACAAATTTATCAGTGATTAAATGCCACAAAAAGAAAGCTCTATTTGTGTGGAAAAAAAATTATAATTTCTTTTGGGTATAGTGTTTCATAAGCATGCAATTGTCATTCGAAGTGTGACAGCACTGAAAGCGGAAAATTTGGCCTGGGCAGGGAGTGGGTGAAAGTGCTCGGTATTGAAGTGGTTAAACTTTGACAAATCCTAGAAGCTGATTGGCTACTATGCAAAGCTGCGCCACATTCTGCGTGTGCCAGTTTTAGTAGATCTCCCTCTGAGCCTCCTCAGTGCAGGAGTTCTTCCAGGGCTGCAAAATACTAAGTACAAAGACCTGAACTATATCCATTTTTTTAATGTCTTCGATAGATTTAGGACCCCTGTCAGGTTTTTATTACAGCATCTTAATTAAGTAGATTCACACTCATATCCAGGTGACCATTGTCAGTAAGTGACTCCAGAACAAAAAATTCCAAGAGGGGGAATCTTCCTGTGTGGACACTTGTGCCAGTAATGGCTGTCTAAGAGGCAATTCCTCTCACCTCATCTCACAGACGTTTGTGCACACTTTCTGTAGGAGAGGAGGTGAAAGGAAATCCCACCAATGGGGAACATATGCTAACAAACATGAAAATCCAGCTTTAGATGTACGTAAAGGCCAAACTCCAGGTTAGTTTGAAATATCACTTTGCAGTGGGGTCCCTGTACTGCAAGGGATCAACTGTTGCAGGAAAATTGTTTGACATAAAGAAATTGGTGCTACAAACTTTTTGTTCTCCAGGGTCTCTGATATCATAAAATATAGAATGGTTGGGAGTTTTATGTAAACTTTGGGCCTAAAATTACTTTTAATTGTGTGCACAAAAGTGCAAAAATGGCTCTGGCATCAAAAGGGTTCATTTCATACATGTGTGTTAGTTACCTTTTTTGTATTTAGCATAAATCTTTTCATTTCCTTTTCCATTGTCCTAGACCAAGGGTTTCCAAGCTTTCGAAACAAAGGGCGAGTTTACTGCCCTTTAAACTATAGGGGGCTGGACTATGGCCAGTGGGAGTTGAAAATGCCTTGGCATCAGTTGTAGTAAACAATGGCATAGGTTTGGTGGTCAGTGGGAGTAAAACAATTACATCATTGGTGTCAGTGGGAGGAATAGTGCCCCATAATTGGTGTCAGTGGGAGAATTGGTACCCCATCTCTAGTGTCAGTAAGAGTTATAGTACCCTATTGGTGTCAGTGGGAGGAATAGTGCCTCATATCAGTGAATGGAATAGTGCCCTAAGGGCCAGATAACAGCAAGCAGGTAGTAGATATTCTGGTATTAGTATTTTTTTTCCTTTCTTAGAAAGGAAAAAAATACTCTCACTCTTTTTAGTTTGACATTTCCCACCTTTCTTTCCTCTTATTTTAGGATGGTGCAATATTAGTGTTCCTTCCAGGCTGGGACAATATCAGCACACTTCATGATTTGCTGATGTCACAACAAATGTTTAAATCAGGTAAGCTTTTTAAAGCAACCCAGTACTAAGGATGTAGCCTGCTATTGCTGACCATTCCTTCTGAAAATGTTAATAGCTTGGTGGTGGCGTTCATCAGTAGTTTCAGCATTTTCGGAGAGAATGACCGAGAACAAGTCCGAGAATCAGGAGTTCTGACTTCACTGGACACACATATTTGTTCCAGTTTAGCAACTCATAGTATTGATGCCAGGGAAGGCCGGACAACTAACATTTTCTGAAGGTCAGCAATAAAACTCATTAAAGGTTTCCTCTAGTTGCAATTTTTTTATATTAACCTAGCATGACTAATGTATTCTAAGGTGTGTAATGTTAAAATGTGTGGTTTGTACTGGAGAGCGAAATCTGGGGCAGACAGTGATATGCAGGTTTGTGCAGATAGCCTATACATTTTTTTTCACAATAATAGCAGTCAGACATCATTAACCTGATCAATCACTGTTTTTGGTAGAAATGATATTTCTACATGGCAAATAATTTACTAGCAGGTGTAGTAGAGTAATAGAAATCCAACAGACCCAACAGTCATGACATGCATGCTGCTGATTCTGTGTAATTGAATCACTAATTGAAAGGGGCATGTTCAAAATAATAGCAGTGTGGAGTTCTATTAGTGAGGTCATTCATTCTTTGAAAAACAGGTGGCAATTATTGCCCTTATTTAAGGAAGGGAGGCAGCAAATGTTGTACATGCTGGTTACAGTGCATTTCTCTCTGAAATTCTGAGGAAAATGGGTCATTCCAGACATTGTTCAGAAGAACAGCGTACCTTGATTAAAAAGTGGATTGGAGAGGGGAAAACATATAAAGAAGTGCAGAAAATGATAGGCTGCTCAGCTAAAATGATCGCAAATGCTTTCAAATGGCAACCAAAACCTGAAAGACGTGGAAGAAAGTGAAAAACTACCATTCGAATGGATAGAAGAATAGCCAAAATGGCAAGGACTCAGCCAACAATCAGCTCCAGGAAGATCAAAGAAGGTCTAAAGTTACCTGTGAGTACTGTTACAATTAGATGACGCCTATGTGAAGCCAAGCTATCTGCAAGAAGCCCCCGCAAAGTCCCACTGTTGAAAAAAAAGACGTGCTGAAGAGGTTACTAATTTGCCAAAGAGCACATTGACTGGCCTAAAGAGAAATGGCGCAACATTTTGTGGACTGATGAAAGTAAGATTGTTCTTTTTGGGTCTAGTGGCCGGAGACAGTTTGTCAGACGACCCCCAAACACTGAATTTAGGCCACAGTACACTGTGAAGACAGTGAAGCATGGTTGCGCAAGCATCATGATATGGGGATGTTTCTCATATACTACGGTGTTGGGCCTATTTATCCCATACCAGGGATCATGGATCAGTTTGAATACATCAGAATACTTGAAGAGGTCATGCTGCCTTATGCTGAAGAGGAAATGCCCTTGAATTGGGTGTTCCAACAAGACAACGACCCCCAAACACACCAGTAAACGTGCAACATCTTGGTTCCAGACCAACAAGATTGACGTTATGGAGTGGCCAGCCCAATCCCCGGATCTTAATCCAATAGAAAACTTATGGGGTGACATCAAAAATGCAGTTTCTGAGGCAAAACCAAGAAATAGAGAAGAACTGTGGAATGTAGTCCAATCATCCTGGGCTGGAATACCTGTTCACAGGTGCCAGAAGTTGGTTGACTCCATGCAACACAGATGTACAGCAGTTCTCAGAAACAGTGGTAATACAACTAAATATTAATTAAGTGATTCAAATGAAAGCAAAATCTTCAAACATTTTTCAGTTTATATAGTGAATGTTTGAGTTTTGTAATGAAGAATACAAACACTGCTATTTTTTTTAACAGTCTAATATTCACTTTTCTTCAATTTTTTTAGAGGAACAACACAAATTTGATATATTTTTCTTCATGTTTTGATTTGCAATAGAATGTGTAGTGTTCCTAATGCATTTGTGTGTATGGAAATAAAAGCTATTAGAAGGATTTTGAGCTTTATTCACTTTTTTCAACACACTGCTATTATTTTCAACACAACTGTACATGCGCTGCTCAAAAACATTAAAGGAACACTTTTAAATCATAGTATAGCATCAAGTCAATTAAACTCCTGGGATATTTATCTAGTCAGTTAAGTAGCAGAGGGGGTTGTTAATCAGTTTCAGCTGCTTTGGTGTAAATGAAATTAACAACTGCACTGGATGGGCAACAATGAGACGACCCCCAAAACAGGAATGAATTTACAGGTGGAGGCCACTGACATTTTTTTCCCTACTCATCTTTTCTGCCTGTTTTTCACTAGTTTTTTCATTTGGCTAGGGTCTGTGTCACTACTGATGAGGCATGAGGCGATACCTGGACCGTACAGAGTTTGCACAGGCAGTCCAACTCCTCCAGGAGGATGAAGGAATTGATACCATTGAATGGCCCAGTTGCTCGCCTGACCAAATCCAATAGATCACCTCTGGGATATCATGTTTTGGTCCATCAGACGCCACCAGGTTGCACCTCAGACTGTCCAGGAGCTCGATGATGCCCTGGTCCAGATCTCTGGGAGGTTACCCCAGGACACCATCCATCATCTCTTTAGGACCATGCTCTGAGGTTGTCAAGTATGCATACAAGCACATGGAGGGCATACAAACTACTGAGTACCATTTTGAGTTACTGCAATAAAATTCCAGCAAAATGGACTAGCCTGCTGCATCACTTTTTCACTTTGCTTTTTTCGCTGTGTTTTTGAATTCAGTCCTCTGTAGGTTGATAATTTTCATTTCCATCAAACAATGGGGCATCCTTACATTCCTAACACATTACCCAGTCCATATCAGTATAGATATCCAGTAGGAGATTTTTCCCCATTGAGATCTGATGTATTTTCAAAGTGTTCCTTTCATTTTTTGTGAGCAGTGTATATAGATGTCTTCCAAGATCTCTAATTCTGATATCTAAATTACCTTCTTTATTTGCAGACAGGTTTATTATTATCCCTCTGCATTCATTGATGCCAACTGTGAACCAAACGCAGGTATGTTTCTTCTGTTACTTACTTTTGTTCTTGTTGATGGCCCAGGTCCGTCACATCTTCCGTTCGATCTCCCCTTTTTCCCAGAACATCAGAATTCAACTGTAGTTCTGAGTTTTAACATTTGTAATCCAAATAATGTATTATTTTTATTTTCAAATGCAATGAATTTGATTAATTAAAAAGAGCTGAGCTATTTTTCAAGTGTGAATTTATTCTTTGGCAGTTTATGTATCAGATAACAACATTTAAAGTATTGTGCAAAACTGAACTTTGTAGAATAAAGCATTATTTGAGCTTTTTGTATCCTTCAGGTTTTCAAAACACCGCCTCCTGGGGTACGAAAGATTGTTATTGCCACCAACATTGCAGAGACAAGGTAAGCTTTTGTGTACAGGAAATAGGCAGGGGATCATTACAGAATCAGAATGTGCTGTAGCAAATTATAGTTTACACAATATATTCTGTATATTGTTTTACTAAAGCTGGAGAGTGCAAAATCAGGCTCACTTCTGCATAGAAACCAATCAGCTTCCAGATGAGAACAAAGGATGTCTGATCGGCTGCACTCCAAACAATCCACTTTATTGAACCAAGCTAAACCCAATACAGACAGTGGAAATACAGTGGGGGACTGGCAGGTAACGCGTTTCACGCTGAATGACAGCGCTTATTCATTACCATTACCTGCCAGTCCCCCACTCTATTTCCACTGTCTGTATTGGTTTTTATCTAGGTTCAATAAAGTGGATTGTTTGGAATGCAGCCGATCGGATGTCCTTTGTTTTCATCTATGCATCACACGAGCTGGGCTAGCACCTACATGAGGAGTTGTGCTTGGATATTGGGAGTCTCCACCTTGAGCAGTGGTAATACAATCAACTTCCAGGTTTTATTGCCAAAGCTTAATTGGACAAGCTGAGGTTATAAACTGATTGGTTTCTATGCAGAAGTGAGCCTGATTTTGTACTCTTCAGCTTTAGTTAATAAAACCCCTATGAGTCAGTGTATGTAAACCCTCTCCTAGTAAAACAATCCATTCAGTTTAAAATAGAAATTAAAGTCAAAACATTTGTTTGTGTGTGTGTACAGTGCATTCATAAAGTATTCAGACCCCCTTCACTTTTTTCAATGTTATGTTGCAGCTTGATACTACAGTTGTTTAATTTTTTTTTTTTTTATTAATCTAACTCCGTGTCCCATAATGCCAAAGGGAAAACATAATTTTTGAAATGTCTGTGAATTTATTAAAACGAAAACACTGAAATAGAAAATGTACTTAAGTACTTAGACCTTTATTCAGTACTTTGTTGTAGCATCTTTGGCAGCAATTATAGCCTTGAGTATTTTTAGGTATAACGCGACAAGCTTTGCACATCTGGAATTGGGGATTTTCTGCCATTCTTTGCAAATCCTCTCAGGTTCAATCAGGTTGGATGGGGACCATCGGTGGACAGCCATTTTCAGGTTTCTCCAGAGATGTTCAATAGGGTTCAAGTCAGGGCGCTGCCTGGACTACTCTAGAATATTCAGAGTTGTCCCTAATCCTTGCCTGTGTTTTCTTGGCTGTAAATAGTAAATTGTAAATCTTATACATTTAGTATATAGGACATTCTTCTGCCACAGTTCGGCACTGGTGCGCTAAATCTCTCGTGTGTGTATATATACAGTTAGGTCTATATATATATTGACACAGGCACAATTTTAGTTTCTTTCAGGTATCTATCAAACCATATTCAAGCTATAGTCATATAATGGATATGGGCTGAAAGTGCTCACTCTCAGGTTTCATTTGAGGGTATGTACATCCAAATTGGAGGATGGGTTTAGGAATTACAGCTCTTAAGAGTAGCCACCCCCCCCCCTTTTTCAAGGGACCAAAAGTAATTGAAATCAAAAGCTGTTTCATGCCCAAGTGTGGGCTACTGCTTCGTTATTTCTTCATCAATTAAACAGGCAAAAGGTCTGGAGTTGATTCTAAGTGTGGTATTTGCATTTGTAATCTATTGCTGTAAACCTACATCATGCTTTCAAAGGAGCTGTCCATACAAGTGAAATTGTAAGGCTTCAAAAACAAAACAAATCCATCAGAGAGCAGCAACATTAGGAGTGGCCTTATTAATTGTTTGATACATTCTGAGGAATGAAGAACACACTGGTGAGCTCAGCAACAAAAAGGCATGGACGTACATGGAAGACAACAGTGGTGCATGATTGCAGGATCCTCTCTATGGTAAAGAAAAACCCATTCACAACATCCAGACAAGTGAAGAACACTCTCCAGGAGTTGGGCGTATCATTGTCAAAGTCTACAATCAAGAGAAGACTTCACAAGTGCAAATACAGAGGGTTCACCACAAGGTGCAAACCATTTATAAGCCTGAAGAATAGCAAAGCCAGATTAGACTTTGCCAAAAAAACATCTAAAAAAAGCCAGACCAGTTCTGGAGAAGCATTCATTGGACGAATGAATTTAAGATTAATCTGTACCAGAATGACAGGAAGAAAATGAGAAGGCTTGGAACAGCTCATGATCCAAAGCACACAACATCATCTGTAAAACATGGTGGAGGCAGTGTGATGGCATGGACATGCATCGCTTCCAGTGGCACTGGGTCATTGGTTTTTTTTTTGATGATGTGACAGAAGCAGCCAGATGAATTCTGCAGCGTTTACAGATATACTGTCAGCCCAGATTCAGCCAAATCCAGCAAAGTTGATTGGACGGCGCTTCACAGTACAGATGGACAATGATATAAAACACACTGCAAAAGCAACCCAGGAGCTTTTGAAGGAAAAGTGGAATATTCTGCAATGGCCGAGTCAATCACCTGATCTCAACCCAACTGAGCATGCATTTCACTTGCTGAAGGCAAAACTAAAGGCAGAAAGACCCACAAACCAAGAGCAACTGAAGACAGCTGCAGTTAGAGCCTGGAAAACATTGGAATGGAGGAAATCCAGTCTTTGGTAATGTCCATGGGTTCCAGACTTCAGGCAGTCATTGTCAGTAAAGGATTCTCAACAAAATATTAAAAAAAAACATTATATTTATGATTATATTCAATTGTCCAATTACTTTTGGTCCCTTGAAAAAGGGGGGATAGCTTCTCTCAAGAACTATAATTACTAAACCCTTCCTCCAATTTGGATGTACATACCCTCAAATTAAACCTGAGAGTGTGCACTTTCAGCACATATCCATTATATAAACTGTTGCTTGAATATGTTTTGGTAAATACCTGAAAAAAACAAAAATTGTGCCTGTGTCCAAATATATATAGAACTCCGCATGTTCTTCTCCAGTAATCAGACTTGTCCCGACAAACCCCCCCCCCCCCTCCCCCAATCCTGCACAGCCATTCAATGGAAAGACCAGTGTACAGCTGTTTCTCCCTCCCCCAGATCTCTATGCAGCTAAGAACAGAGGTTTGTTTTTTTTTTTTTTATATATCAATACACAAATGTTATCAATACACAAATGTTTTGCCTTTCATTTCTATTTTAAACTGAATGCGTTATTTTGCAATGTACAAGTTCACGTATACTTTAATTCTAGTTTGCAATGTTTTGGTCTATGATTGAAACACCCCTATACAACACAAAAATAAGGCAAGTAAAACTCTGATAATTTCAGTGAACGTTTTTCCTTCATTGTTATTAGCTGCGATGCAGATAAAAGTCATAATCCCTCTTTGTTCCTTTTATAGTATTACAATAGATGATGTCGTTCATGTGATAGATTGTGGCAAAATAAAAGAAACAAATTTCGACACTCAGAATAACATCAGCACTTTGACAGCAGAATGGGTTAGCCATGCTAATGCAAAGCAAAGAAAAGGACGTGCTGGCAGGTAAGCAAACGTGGGATGGTGGTGTGAAAGTGATACAGTTGACAATATAGAAATATTATACAGTGCTTAAATGTGACTTGCATAAAACACTAACAAAATACATATACTTTAATAAAATTTATTTAATTATTTGACAGAGTAAAGCCAGGTTTTTGCTATCATCTATACAACAGACTGAGGGATAGTTTGCTTGATGATTACCAGCTGCCAGAAATTGCCAGAACACCTCTAGAGGAACTTTGCCTCCAGATAAAGGTGTGCACATGTTCTACATTTTCCTTTGTCACCAGTTGTGTTAAAGTTGTTTGCCACTGATTGGCCTGTATTGTTTTCTTTTCAGATTTTAAAGCTTGGAGGAATTGGCTTCTTCCTTGGAAAATTGATGGATCCACCATTACAGCAGGCAGTGTGCCTGGCTATAAACCATCTTATGGAACTTGTAAGTGCAACATATGGATGAAAATGCACAGGGGTTCCACAGTGCTGTTGTTAGGATCATACATGTTTATTTATATCCATTCTCCAGGATTGTTTTGGGAATTACACTTTCTTAATTGTACTTCACAGCACACAGAGGACCTAAATATTTATAACTACTTAGGTTATGCTGCCACCTCCACATAAATGGACACTGACCAAAAAAGGCAGAAACCCCATCCAGGCACATAACCTCTCCCCTCTCAAATAAGCCTCACTTTTTAACTAATGTCCTTGGGTGATGGATGTGTGTCTCTGTTGGGTTTTGTTCCTATAAATCCTGGCTTGTTCCTTACACCCCTGGTGGAGTAGAGGTTGGCACGCTATCTGAAGTTGCCACTACGGTCAGCAGGCCATGTGGGGCCACACACTGGAATCCTACGGACAGCAATCTACTGGGCTTTGTATACTGGGGTAACTTGCTGGCAGGGTTCTGTACAAGTCCAAGGCAGTGATACCCCTGGAGGGAAGTTGAGTCCCTGAAAGCCCTGCGGGGTACGCTCACTGTGATGAGTGAAGACTGAGCCTGGTGGCCTTGCTACTAGACTGATGAGTGCTTCCAGACTTTGTGAAACCTGTGCAAGGGGAGGGACAATGATGTGGACTCCCGGATCCTTCTATCAAATAGGGAGGACTCCTGGCATAGCTTACCCTGTGATTGTTCCCAGAAATTATTAGCTCTGAATACATACATAGCGAGCTAGATAGATATATAGATATAGATATATATATAGATATATATATATATATATATATATATATATATATATTATACACACACACACACACACACACACACAAATACAGTGAGGAACAGAAGTATTTGAACACCCTGCGATTCTGCAAGTTCTCCTCACTTAGAAATCTTGGAGGGGTCTGAAATTCACATTGTAGGTGCATTCCCACTCTGAGAGACAGCATTAAAAAAAAATTCAGGAAATCACATTGTATGATTTGTAAAGAATTTATTTGTCTTGCCCTGCTGAACATAAGTATTTGAACACCTAAGAAAATCAGTGTTTATATTTGGTACAGAAGCCTTTGTTTGCAATTACAGAGGTCAAACGTTTCCGGTAGTTCTTGACTAGGTTTGCACTGCAACAGGTATTTTGGCCCACTCCTCCACACAGATCTCCTCTAGATCTGTCAGGTTTCAGGGCTGTCGCTGAGCAACACAGAGTTTCAGCTCCCTCCAAAGATGTTCTATTGGATTTAGGTCTGGAGACTGGCTAGGCCACTCCAGAACCTTGATATGCTTCTTACGGAGCCACTCCTTGGGTATCCTGGCTGTGTGCTTCGGGTCGTTGTCATGTTGGAAGACCTAGCCACGACCCATCTTCAATGCTCTGACTGAGGGAAGGAGGTTGTTGCTCAAAATCTCACAATAAATGGCCCCTTATTCATCCTTTCCTTAATACAGTGCAGTCGTCCTGTCCCCTTTGCAGAAAAGCACCCCCAAAGCATGATGCTACCACCCCCATGCTTCACAGTAGGGATGGTGTTCTTGGGATGCAACTCATCCTTCTTTTTCCTCCAAACACGACGAGTGAAGTTTAGACCAAAAAGTTCTACTTTGGTCTCATCTGACCACATGACTTTCTCCCATGCCTCCTCTGGATCATCCAGATGGTCATTGGCAAACTTCAGAAGGGCCTGGACATGTGATGACTTGAGCAGGGGAACCTTCCGTGCAATGCATGATTTGAAACCATGACGGCGTAGTGTTCTACCGACCGTGATCTTTGAAACTGTGGTCCCAGCTCTCTTCATGTCATTGACCAGCTCCTCCCTTGTAGTTCTGGGCTGATTCCTCACATTTCTTATCAGTGATCCCCCCACAAGGTGAGATCTTGCATGGAGCCCCAGTCCCAGGGAGACTGACAGTCGTCTTTAGCCTCTTCCATTTTATAACAATTGCTCCAACAGTTGATCTATTTTCACCAAGCTGCTTGGCAATTGCCCCGTAGCCCTTTCCAGCCTTGTGGAGGTCCACAATTTTGTCTCTGGTGTCTTTTGACAGCTCTGTGGTCTTGCCCATGGTAGTAGTTGGCATCTGACTGACTGTAGGGTAGACAGGTGTCTTTAAAGAGCTCAGACAGGTGCTACTAAGTAAGATTAATGAGTGGAGTAGAGGTGGACTTTTTTAAAGGCACAGTAACAGGTCTTTGAGAGCCAGAATTCTTGCTGTTTCTTAGGTGTTCAAATACTTATGTTCAGCAGTGCAAGACAAATAAATTCTTTAAAAATCATGCAATGTGATTTCCTGAATTTTTTGTTTAAATTCTGTCTCTCAGAGTGGGAATGCACCTACGATGTGAATTTCAGACCCCTTCGTGATTTCTAAGTGGGAGAACTTGCAAAATCGCAGGGTGTTCAAATACTTCTGTTCCTCAGTGTGTGTGTGTGTGTGTGTGTGTGTGTGTGCGTATATATGTGTGTGTGTGTGTGTGTGTATATATACACACACACACACACCGCTGCATAAACTGGCGGCACTGTACCTGTAATAGTAATAATAAAAGATGATGTTACACCGAGTAAATAGATACCTAACATGTCACGCTTTAAAATTGTGTACGCCCGTGGAAATGGCGCCAAACTACGGTACTTAGAATTCTCCATAGGTGACTTTTTAATAAAAAGTCTTTACAGGTAGTCATTTTAGAGTTACACAGGAGGCCTGGAGCTAAAATTATTGCTCTTGCTCTGATGTTTGCAACGATGCCTCACAATTGTAGTGCAATAATCACATACAGTTGCAAGAAAAAGTATGTGAACCCCTTTTGCATGAATTGGGCATAAAATGTGCTCTGAACGTTATCTAAGTCACAACAATAGAAGAACACAGTCTGCTGAACATAATACTACACAAACAGATGTTGCCATGGTTTAATTGCACATAACATGTAAACATTCACAGTGCAGGGAGGAAAAAGTATGTGAACCTTTGGACTTAATAACTGGTTGACCCTCCTTTAGCAGCAATAACCTCAACCAAACGTTTCCTGTAGTTGCAGATCAGACCTGCACAACGATCTGGAGTAATTTTGGACCACTCCTCTTCACAAAACTGTTTCAGTGTAGCAATATTCTTGGGATGTCTGGTGTGAATCGCTCTCTTAAGGTCATGCCACAGCATTTCAATCGGGTTGAGGTCAGGACTCTGACTGGGCCACTCCAGAAGGCGTATTCTGTGCTGTTGCAGCCATTGTTTTGTTGAATTACTTGTATGCTTTGGGTCATTGTCCTGTTGCATCACCCATCCTCTGCGGAGCTTCAGTTGGCGGACAGATGGTCGTACGTTTTCCTGCAAAATGTCTTGATAAACTCTGGAATTCATTTTCCCATCAATGAAAACAATCCGTCCAGGCCCTGAGGCAGCAAAGCCGCCCCAAACCATGATGCTCCCTCCGCCATGTTTTACAGTGGGGATGAGGTTTTGATGTTGGTGTGCTGTGCCTTTTTTTCTCCACACATAGTGTTGTGTGTTCTTCCCAAACAACTCAATCTTGGTTTCATCTGTCCCAGTATATTTTGCCAGTAGTGCTGTGGAACATCCAGGTCCTCTTTTGCAAACTTCAAACGTGCTGCAATATTCTTTTTGGACAGCAACGGCTTCCTCCGTGGTGTCCTCCCATGTACTCCATTCTTGTTTAATGTTTTCCTTATTGTAGATGTGTCAACAAAAATGTTAGCATGTGCCAGAGATTTCTGTAGGTCTTTAGCTGACACTCTGGGATTCTTCTTTACCTCATGCAGCATTCTGCGCTGTGCTCTTGCAGTCATTTTTACAGGACAACCACACCTAGGGAGAGTAGCAACAGTGCTAAACTTTCTCCATTTGTAGACAGTCTGTCTTACCGTGGACACATGAACATCAAGGCTTTTGGAGATACTTTTGTAACCCTTTTCCAGCTTCATGCAAGTCAACAATTCTTGATCGTAGGTCTTCTGAGAGCTCTTTTCTGCGAGGCATGGTTCACATCAGACAGTGCTTCTTGAAACCAGTAAACCCAAAACAGGTGTGTGTTTTTTAAGGGCATGACAGCTGTCAGCAACACATCCAATATCACACTGATTGGAGTCAAGGTTGGCTCACTCCTGGCTTCAATTAGCTCTGGTAGAAGTCATTAAGCTAGGGCCTCACATACTTTTTCCTCCCTGCACTGTAAATGTTTACATGTTATGTGCAATTAAACCATGGCAACATCTAATGTTTGTGTAGTATTATGTTCAGCAGACTGTGTTCTTCTATTGTTGTGACTTCGATGACGTTCAGAGCACATTTTATGCCCAATTCATGCAAAACTCCACGTAATCCCAAGGGGTTCACATACTTTTGCTTGCAACTGTATGCTTGCAGCACGGAGAGGGGGGGGGTGCTTACATTTTATTTTATTAGTACCCCAAATCGTTTCCCTGGCCTCCAGTGCAGCTGACCAGACACAGATCAGTCTGAACAGCTGCTTTTTCCTCTCCGCCCAGGTAAACATAGAGCTGAAATCGGACATGATGAAATCCTCTTCATTTCTGGGGTCACAGAGGGAGGAATGCAGCTCTGTGTTGTCCCGCTTGTCGCGGTGGTCTCGGGCTCCGCGATCGGACGGGAAAGCCTGTGAAAGGTGGAAGTGAGGGGACCCCATCCACTGCCCCAAGAAGTGATCTAATGGCTGTTAACTACTTCAACCGAAGGACGTCCTAGGTTGTCTAATGGGCAGAAATTGGTTAAAGACGCCATATGAAAAAAAAAAATCAGTTTAATACAAGTGAATATGATATTTTCTTATCTTTTTACTAATGCTAGCAGCATAAGGATTAAAATAATCAAACTTGATTCAGAGCGTTTAGTTCTGCTTTATGATCTGGGCGTAGAAGATATTCTATTCTATAGAATCAGATCCAGTGGATGAGGTCCAGGGCTTTAGATGTCATAGATTAGAAGTTAGCAACCTTTTTAAGGTG